CTGTCTCTCGTCGGCTGGGCAGCTTGGCGCGTAGAGGGATCTGCAGGAGGCTTTAGGGTCATTTTGTTTTAACTAATATTTCTACTGTACGTTTTGAAAATCTTAGAAGTTTTAATTTTATTTTGTTTGTAATTAGACATTAAAAATATATAGATATGGCAGTGAATAAAATGTTATCAGCGGTAATTTCTTTTCGTATTGACATGTTTAAAACATTTTACTAAATTATAGTAAGCTCCATCTTTTATTTTAAAATAAAAGACACACAAAGCCCTTTTTTTTACAGACATGTGGATCTGTTAATAGATAGCGTAAATGAGGTTATATAAAAATATTTCAAGTGAAGTGTCAACTATGCCTCCTCTATATATGTGTTGAATCTCTTTGCAATTCAATTTTTCTTTAAATAAGTGAAGTCTCAAGATTACAAAATAACCACATATATGAACATGATTTTGAAATAATTTTTGGTAGTTAACAAGAAAATCTGGCAACACTAGAACGTAGACAAAGAAGTCCCTATCTGACAGCTGTCAATGTCATTCAGACGTATTTGAATAGCGCGCCATTCTGGCGGGAATCAGTACTCTAATTGTTAAAATTCAAACAAATAAAACCATCTCTTAGGGTATATCCCACCAAATTGTAAATTGTCTGATAATTCAACGTGTTAAATATGTAATGGAAATATCGGATTTTGTTCTCTTATCTGACAGTGACGTCATTTTAAAGCTATCTGAGCCTCTAATAGCCAGTGTGACAGACCCTAAAAGTAATACATAATTATAAAAGTGTATGCTCACCTAGTGAATTTATTCCTAGGGGGTCGTGACGGCAGTGTGCCTGGTTTAGGTCTTCTCAGAGAATAGGTTTTCTTCACGAGCGCCATATTGCTTGTTTCTTGCACTGGTTTTGTGCAGTTCAATGTTGTAACAGTTAACTCCACGTCTTTTATTGCTTCGTTTGATGCTAGAAATATATAAATATACGATTAATATTTAAATTTTTTTTTAAACTATAAATAGCATCTCTCTGTGGCAATGGGATGTGTATGTTTAGCATTAGAGTTATGGGCAAAATGATTAAATAATTAACCACAAAATCACGGTGTTTGGCTGTCACATATTCATCATCGTCATGCTCCTTATCCTACTCCCGTAAGGTCGGCACAACAAGTTTTTGTCCTCCACATAACTGTATCATACGTCATCTCAGTCATCACTCCCATTTTGATCATGTCACCTTTTACGCAATCCATACATATCTTTCTAGGTCTACCTCTACCGGTGTTCCACACTCATAACTAATATTCTTGTAACATGCGATTCATCCCTCCTCATAACATGCCCATACCATGGTAACCTTTTACTTCTTATTTTCTCTACCACTGGGGCTACTCTCAAACTTCCTCTAATATACTCATTTCGTATCTTATGCATTCATGTTACCCCACACATCACATAATCATACTAATGTTACAGATGAGACAGTTTAGATGAATGTTTGTTAGAGTTTGAACCCTTAATGCTGAATAGATCTCTAGAGAAATTTGGCATAGATGTAAATGATAGTCAGGAAGAACACACAGGCTACTTATTTTTTTTTTAATTCTACGCGGATAAGTCGCAGGCGAAAACTAGTGACTTACAATTATAATATATGATTTCTAGCTTAATTTTACTTTATAAATAATAAGATAATATTACTGATCAATTACTAGCCACTCAATGCACAAAATTCTTACATAAAAAATGCTTCCAAAGAGTGTAAATTATTTTCTTTTTATTATCGTATCATAACGACATCCTCCGATAAGCTCCTAAAGCTGCCAGTGACGAATAAAACATTATTTACTTAATAAAACAAAAATACTAAAGTTATTCACAATGTACATTGCATACACAGTACATCTATATGTCTGCTAATATTATAAAGAGGAAAGATTTGCGTTTTTGTATGTATTGAAATAACTCAAAAACTACTGGACCGATTTCAAAAATTCTTACACCATTATAAAAGTGTGTTATAAGTGAGTGACACAGGCTATGTATTTTTTTTAATTTCACGTGGACGAATATATATTGTTTTTATAACATAAGGTGGCAAACGATCAAGCGGCCACCTGAATCCGCCAAAATG